CTTAGTCCTAAATCAACTATTAACAAGGAAAAGAAAACGAGATAGAAAATGAATTGTTGAAATTGGTATGGCCTCAATGCTGAGCATATATAAATCAAGAGCTGATTATGATTGTTTTTTGGTATATAGGCTCTGTTCTGGTCCCTTATTCCAGACCTTGAATTCACTCTCTAGTGACAGTTTGCAGATTTATGCTACAGTACGGAGTGGATCCATAGCCATTGCTGCGTCAACACTGGATTCCTTACTTGATCTCTTGGCTGGTGGAATACTTTGGTTTACTCACTTGTACATGAAGCGAGTAAATATTTATAAATTCCCGATTGGAAAGCTGAGGGTGCAGCCAGTCGGCATTATTGTATTTGCTGCTGTCATGGCTACGTTAGGTATCTCTTGTTCTTTAAATCCAGTGTGAAATTGCATTGATTTTCTCATTCAGCCATTTGAACCATGATCGGACAGTAGGAATATCTAGTAATTTTATTGTCTATCTACCTCATATTCCTGCTAAAAATGAAGGTTCTTTCTCAATTATAACAAGTTAAAGTATTGACATCCATAATTGATGGATATTACGCCTATGTCTTGTAACTAGCAGAGAGCAAGTCTGTGCAATTATCTATTCATTTTGTATTCTGGAATCTTTAATGGTTGAATCATCTTGGTCACGTCAAAATTTCATTCCAAGCACGATTGTATGATTTGGGTTCCTTTAACAATGTGGATAGCTAAACCATTTCAATTTCTTGTTTAGGATTTCAGGTATTGCTTCAAGCTGCAGAACAACTAATCCAAGATAAACCGTCTGAGGGTCTGTCGCCAGAACAATTCATCTGGTTGTGTGCAATTATGATCTCTGCCACAGTAGTAAAACTTGTCCTCTGGCTTTACTGCAAAAGCTCAAGAAATGATATTGTGCGCGCTTATGCTAAGGTTGTTTAACCTACAATTATTATTATGCAATTGTTTTCAAATGAATAATTCTTCAATATACATGGCATAAATCCTCCCAATGCTATTTCCCAGGATCATTACTTTGATGTCGTAACAAATGTGGTTGGATTAGTTGCAGCTATTCTTGGTGATAAGATCTTTTGGTGGATAGATCCGATCGGTGCTATTGCCCTAGCCATATATACAATTTTAAATTGGTCTGGAACTGTATGGGAAAATGCAGGTACATATTTACTCGCATTTTGTTCCCTTTCTCCTAAAATGAAAATTTCTGATGTTTGTTGGATATGCTAATCAGTCTTCTTTTTGGGAAATCCCATGATTCCTTTTTTCTTTTTCTTCTTTTAACTTTTACTGGGCATAACAAAATACTAAAACGACTAGATCCGGTAAGGAGTTTTATAATAATAAGTCTAACACCCATGGTTCTAAATGAAAATGTTCTTCATCGAGTTGCAGAGCGAAAAGAAGATATTGGTGCGACCGTTCTTCTGTTGTCATAGTAAATGTGATATGATTTAAAAAAAAAAAAGATTTGAAATAACTATATTTTTGTCATATACCTGAAGTAATTGTATGTTTGTAGCATTTGCAGTTTTGAATTGTGAGCCATTCTCTCATTTCATGATACTTGCATTTCCTCCAACTTACAACTAACACGAGGTTAATTCTTATTGTAGTTTCACTCGTGGGGAAATCAGCCCCTCCTGAAGTCCTGCAAAAGTTGACTTATCTTGTCACTAGGCATCCTGAGGTCAAACGCGTCGATACAGTTCGTGCCTACACCTTTGGTGTTCTTTATTTCGTAGAGGTCAGCCATACTTTTTCTATCTTGCATTTAGTTTTTTTCGTTTATTGTCTTAGCACCATAATCGCCGCAACGTGATTTGCACATGATAACTTTACACTCTTAGATATAAGAACGAAATTGCTAACCTATTTTAAATTTGTAACTAATGGTTATTAATGACGAGCATATTTCTAAATTCATAAATTCATGTCTGCATGATTTTAAAACGATCTAAAAACAGATGTTATGATTTAAGAAACTCTCTTTTAACCGTCAAGCCCACAGTTAGTAGATATTGTTTTCTTTGGGCTTTCCCTTTCAAGTTTCCCCTTAAGATTTTTAGAACACAGTCTACTAGGGGATGTTTCCACACCCTTATAAAGAATGTTTCGTCCTTCTCTCTAGCCGATGTGGGGTCTCATAATCCACCTCCTTCGGGGTCCAACGTCCTTGTTGGCACTCATTCCCTTCTCCAATCGATGTGAGACCCCCCAATCCACCCTTTTTCGGGGCCCAGCGTCCTTACTGGCACACCGCCTCGTGTCCACCAACCTTCGGGGCTAAGCCTCATCACTGGCACATCACCCTATGTCTGGCTTTGATACCATTTGTAACAGCCAAGCCCAACCTAGCAGAGATTGTCCTCTTTTGGCTTTCCATTTCGGACTTTTCCTCAAAGTTTTTAAAACGCGTCTGCTAGGGGGAGGTTTCCACACTCTTATAAACAATGTTTCGTTCTCTCCCAACCGATGTGAGATCTCACACTTTTCCATATTGGCACCTCCTAATAAAAAGGTTGAAACAAATCTCTTAACCAACAACTATACTTGGTTGCCGTTTGATGGTTTAAACTTAACAGGAACATTGTTTCAAAAACTTATGTAATTAATAATTTGATATGCTTATACTGACAACCAATCAGGTGGACATTGAACTTCCGGAGGAGCTGCCATTGAAAGAAGCACACGCCATTGGAGAAACGTTGCAGATCAAAATCGAAAAGCTTCCAGAAGTTGAAAGGGCATTTGTTCATCTGGACTTTGAATGTGAGCATAAACCAGAGCACTCGATACTCAGAAGGTTACCAAACACTTAGCCCTCATGTTTTATTGGTATCTATTCCATAACCATCTTGACTAGTTTTGTTATGTTTCTACGTCTTGTATGTGCCTGCCTTTTCTTTTTGCCGGTTGAAAAAGGCTATATATTTTCAATCAGATCAAATAATCAGTTTCTACTTTCAAGTTTATTTTGGTCTCTTCCCTTTTTTTTTCCTTTTTTTTTTCGTTAAATTATAAAAAGTACTCAAGAACTTCGGGTAAGTTTTCAGGTTATGCTCCTAGAATTTGAAATGTTTCGTTTTTATTCTTTGAATTTTGTTTTAAAAAATACATTTCTAACTTTTAAATTGTTCTAAAAATATGTTTTCTCCAAGAATATGCATATTAGAGATCCCTCATTTTCGGGAAAATTGAGGTGTTATTTGCAATTATATAAAATATTAAGATTGTTGTTATTTATTTTATCGGAATAAAATGTTAATATTGTCTTGTCCATTCATGTGAATGATGTAAATGATGACACACATATGTTTTCTAATTGTTGCACGTTAGTCCTGGAGGAACAGGTTTTGGAGTTCGTCTATCATGTCTGCACGATTGAAATTGATCACAAAGTTTAGGGGTATTTTATGTAATATAACTATTTTTTTACTATAATAGTAATGACTTCGTAAACGTAAGTGTGACTTAATAGTAATTAGGATGCATTACCTCTTTTGAGATTAGTTCAAATTCTCATCCCTTTAGTTATTGTACGGACAGATTAATAATTTTTACCATTGTTATTTGAAATACCATAGACGTGTAGTCAAGAATTGCTTTATAAATATATAATTTAATCCGTCTTTTTTTTGTCTCTATATTTATAAATTTATATGAAATTTAGATAAATTGAAAATCTTAAATAATTTTAAATAACTAATAGTCTGCAACAATTATTTTATTATAATTGTCAAAAATTCTCACTTAACCTTCACTAAATTTATAATTTGGAAAAAAAAAAATGTGATAAAGAAAACGTAAAATTTATGTAGAATGAAGAATGAAGAATGAATTAAAATTCAACTGAGTTCATATGGATTATTGGACATCTCAATTATTTTACTATAATTCACTTTCATTTTTTACCTATTTTCTTTAGCAGTCAAGTCTAAAATTACTCATAGTGACATAAAGTATTGTCTTGATTCCCTTTATGTTGATCAAAATATGGTCAAATTTATTAAATCCAAACCTTTGAAACATAAACAATAATTTGTTGTAATTTATGTTTCAAACATAATTTTTTTAAATCCAAACGTAAAAATTATTGTAACGGTTCAAGTTCACCACTAGTCGATATTATTCTCCTTGAGTTTTTTATTTTGAGTTTTCCCTCGAGATTTTTTAACACGTCTACTAAGAATAAGTTTTCACACACTTATGAAGAATGATTTGATCTCGTGCCATCCCACTGTTATTCTATTTTTGGTGTAATCTTGAGGCCAATCAATAATCTTATAGGGATCTAAAGACCATTTTCTACCTAGTTTCATCACTACTTACTCATAGTCAAATTTTAGAAATTTAAAAATTACTTTATTCATTTAAAAAATTGCCTTAGTTTTTATAAAACATGACAAAAAAAAAAAAAAAAAAAAAAAAAAAAAAAGAATAACAAAACAACGGTGTTTATAAACTTAGTTAAAAAAAAAAAAAAAATTACAGATGGTTTTACACTATTAAAATATGTCAAAAGAAATATTTTAGGAAAAAAAATGTAATTTTAGTAAATGACGCACGAGTGCTCGAGGCGTTAACAACTCCGATGTCCTAAACAACCCGATCAACCCAACTCAATCCATATCATTTAAATTAAGCTGAATTCAAATACTTTATGCATTTAATTGGTTCATATTATCAAATTGTTAATTTTATACATTTTTTATACAAAACAATTATATATACTAGTTTCATCTGATTAATTATTCCCTAATAACTCTTAAAATTAACTTTTAATTTAGAATACAGTATTTTTTACTATATATATATATATATTGAAATATATTTATAATTTTTAATTGAATGTTTGAAAATAAATAAATAAACATTTAATAATAATAAAAAATACAAAAATAAAAGAACTTCCCGCCAACTTCAAAATCTTGACCCTTTTCCCGACACTATAAAAGGGTCTTTCCCCTTTTTCCCCCTCAACTTTTGCGCGTTTTTTCTTCTTTCTCCTTTTCCGCCGTTCGTTCGCTCTCTCCTCTCCCACAATGTCTTCCAACCGACGCTCCAAATCCGCCGCTCCCATCTCCCCTAAGCCCGACGCTGATGCTTCTTCCCCTAACAAGAAGCTCAAATCCGAGCTCAATGGAGATGGAACTCCCATTTCACATTCCCCCGCTAAACTGGCTTCTCAGAGCACGAAGGTGAAGGCGGAATTGAGCGGCGACGAGGACTATGATTCGGCTAGGTTCGTGGAGCCCCGCATTCCGGATAGCGAGGCGAGAGAACGGTGGCCTCTGCGGTATCGGGGAAAGGTAGTTGAAATTCCTTCCCGAAATTTTGGTAATTTTGGTGTATTTGTGTGTTATCCTCCTTGATGTGGATATTCAATGTGTGGAAGCGCTTAATTCGAATACTGGAAGTCTTGTATTGCTGCTTGTTGCTGGATTTTTTTTTTATTGTTGGTTTTCTAGGACTTTAGCCGCAAGAAAATGGGGTTTTCTGTTGGACGATGAAAGTCCACCTCGGCTAATTTAGGAAATCATCCTGGGTTTATAATCAAGGAATACTATCTCCATTGGTACGAGACCTTTTGAGGAAGCTCAAAGCAAAGCCCTGAGAGCTTATGCTTAAAGTGGACAGTATCATACCATTGTGGAGAATCGTGTTTGTCTAACATTTTCTACTTGTTTTCTACTTGTTCTTGGGCGAGGTTGAATTGAGGTGGACATAGTACCTAGGATTAGGTGAGAGGAGAAAAATGAGAGACCCAAGAAAACTATCATTGGGTTTTCCTTTGGTGAAGGACTATTGTTTGTTTCAAGCTAAAGGGATGTAAAGGCTTCTCTAGTGAAGTGGTTAATAATATTCAACTATCATTGGGTAAACAATAATTCAAAAATGTGTAATAGGTCAAGTTAGGACCACTCAACAACGCGCACACTCGATCAAGATGAACATAAAGAATAAGAGAGAGAAAATACAAGGAGGAATATTGGCTAAAGGTTTGATTGATGACTTAGGTATGTAAGAGAATACAAAGAAGGAAGAAAGTACGCATTGGAAGCACTGCCTAATCGAGTATATATAGAGTTTCAATTTACTAAATATAACTTTCAAAGATTTAACCACTTACGAGAAATATTTACCAAACAATCTTCTACATGTAGACTGATACAGTCAACTCCAACAATCTCTCACTTGGAAACTGATCTAGTCAACCAAGAATTTCATTCTCAATCTGTACCAGACCACTTGAGGCTTTGCACAACCTCAGTGTTCCAACATCAACACAAAATGTTTGCTAGATTCCTTGCACCCTCTGTCTTCTCCAAACACATCATCATCTTCCACTAACCTTCGAGTGAAATGGCTTCACCTTCTGTGTTTTGTCTTTGAATGATAGATCGGGTTTCTCACCAACTGCATGACACTTTAACTATCTACCTGAAGAATCTTCTCGCTACTTCATGCTTAATTCTTCTAGATAGTTTGTCATCCATATCATTTCCTTTCCAGCTTTAGCTATTGCCACGCACTCAGCCTCAACAGATGAAAGAGCAATGCATTTCTGAAGCCTAGATATCCTATCATCCATGGCTTGCTCCTTGGTTGTATCCTCCAATTGTAGGGCCTCATCAAAGGGCTCTTGTTCCCCTTCATCAATCACCAACCGATAGTGTAAAGAAGGTACATACCTATCTGGTACTCTGATGGCTCTGGATGATCTTTTCAACACCTGCTCAAGTGTCACTTGCTTCGCTTTTGGTTCCTTAGCAACAGTCTCAGAAGTTTCTTGAGTATCCGCTACAACATCAATAGGTGAATCTTTCTGCAACTCAACCTCAACTCCAACTTTCTTCACCTCTGGTTTCACAACAACAGTCTTAGGAGTTTCTTGAGTATCTGCTACAACATCACTAGGTGAATGTTTCAGCAACTTAATCTCAACCCACTTGCTTCGTTATCTCGATACTTTTCTTCAATTCTCTAACAGTCTTTGTTAAGCCAACTCGTTTCTGTTTGCTCATAACGCAGTTCTCACAAGGACTCATATCTACAGATTTCAGACCTTCCAGAACTTCTTCCGCAGTTGGCATCTTCATTCCTTTAACGCTCATATGTCCAAGTCTATTGTGCCATATACTTGAATTTGAAGCACTCTCAACAACAGCAGCTATGTTCATACACCATGCAGTGGTGTATAAAGTTCCAAATCTTGTGCCATGTGCTACCACCATAGCACCCTTCACAATCTTCCACGAATTCTTCCCAAACTCTGTTGCATAACCTGTGTTATTCAATTGACCAATAGAGATCAGGTTCTTCTTGAGACCAGGAATATGTCTGACATCCTTTATGTTCATTGACTTCCTGTCGGAGTTTTTATGCAGACATCCTATTTTTCTTCAATCTTTAAATCTTTGTTGTCGGCAAGATACACCTTCTCGAAATTTTCAGACTTGAATTTTCTAAATAACGCTTTATTTGGAGACAAATGAAAAGATGCACTTGAATCCAAAATCCAAAATTCAATCAGACTGTCCACGCTGAGGATTAGGGCATCCCTAATGTTTTCTGTTGAATGTATAGAATCATCGTCATCCTCTGATTTGTGATTCTGCTTCCTCTTTGTACAATCTGCTTGGAAGTGCTTTTTTCTCCACAACTCCAACACTTTACATTTGGTTTGTTTGGAGATTTTCCTCGGTTCCTTGATTTTGATCGTCCATTGTTTAGGCCCTTTGATTTACTTCTTCCCCTTCGATCAACATTGAGAGTATTGCCTGATGAATCTCCGATTTTTTGTTTGCAAATACTTGCGCTAAGAACTACATCTCGAATTTCATCTAACTAAAGTTTATCAGATCCTCGTGAACTGCTAATCGCGGAAACAATAGTATCCCACGACTCGGGTAAAGATGACATCAAAATCAATGCCTTAATTTCATCTTTGAAATTAATATCCACCGAACTCAGTTGACTTGTAATCATATTGAATTCGTTTATATGACCAGCAACAGATCCATCTTCAGACATTTGTAGATTAACAGCCTCTGCATCAAATATACCTTGTTCATAGTCGACAGTTTCTCTTACATATTCAACAGCGCCTTAACAAACCTGACGTTGTCTTCTCCTTGATAATATTGAATGCCACATTTTTTAATCGTGTCAACTGGATCAACCCTAAAGCTTGACGATCCTTGAGCTTCCACTGCTTTGTGGTCATAGTATTCGGCTTCACCCCCAACAGGGGTCCGTGAAGACCTTTCTAGTACAGACAATCTTCAATCTGCATCTTCCAGAAACTAAAATCGGATCCATCAAACTTTTCAATTTCAATCTTTGAAATTTTCATCTTCATAGATTGTGATGAATTTCGCCTTGCTCTGATACCAGTTGTTAGGATTACTCAACAATGCACACACTCGATCAAGATGAACACAAAGAACAAGAGAGAGAAAATACGAGGAATATTGACTAAAGGTTTTATTGATGATTTTAGGTATATACAAAACAGAGAATACAAAGAATGAAAAAAGTACATCTTAATGACTGCCTAATCGAGTATATATAGGGTTTCAATTTACTAAATATAACTTTCAAAGATTTAACCACCTCCAAAGATATAATCTACCAAATATATCTCTATCAAATCTTTACGAAATATCTACCAAATATATCTCTGATCTTTACGGTAAATAATAGGCATCAGGCTCCATATCCCAACAAAACTTTCAACTTCGTGTTTAATAATATTCTCCATATTTAACATCTTTACTTTTCTCTTAATGCTGCTGCTATTGTTGGAGTTTGCTTCTTCATTTTATATATATCTTGGCCACAGCTTGTGTGTAGTTTAACTATTCTCATGGTCATGGGACAACAATATGATCTTATTGTTGGGGATTATTGAGAGGACTAGTCTCGCATTGGCTAATTAAGAGGAAAATCATGGGTTTATTAAGTAAGGAACACTATTTCCATTGGTACGAGGCTTTTTGGGAAACAAAAAACAAAGCCATGAGAGCTTATACTCAAAGTGGACAATATCATACCATTGTGGAGGGTCGTGGTTCATAGCATGGTGTCAGAGCCATGTCCTTGACTTAGCCATGTCATAGAATCCTTAAGTGTTAAACAAAGAAGCTGTGAGTCTCAAAAGTGTACTCATGATTCAAGTGTTGAACAAAGGGTATACTTTGTTCGAGGGCTCCAGAGAAGGAGTCGAGCCTCGATTAAGGGGAGGTTGTTTGAAAGCTCCACAGGAGGCCAAAAGGGAGGCTATGTGATGTACTTTATTCTAGGGGAGGATCGTTGAGGATTATTGAGAGGAGTAGTCCCACGTTGGCTAATTAAGAGGAATATCATGAGTTTATAAGTAAGGAACACTATCTCCATTGATACGGGACCTTTTGGAAAAACCAAAAGCAAAGCCACGAGAGTTTATACTCAAAGTGGACAATATCATACCATTGTGGAGGGCGTAGTTCCTAGCACCTATTGCATTTGTTTGCTAAGGTCTCTTAATGTTATTTTTAGTTCAAGCCTTGTTATATTAGAAAAAATACAAGTAATGTAAATTTATATATAAACATGCATGTTGATACAGCGATACTGAAATGTTTCTTGTGCCATTGATCTCCAAGCTCACCAGGCAATTACTGCTTAGGCTCTTTAGTATATCGATCTTTACTTGACGTTTTGAACCATACATTACTATGCTTGTATAAGTACGACACACTAAGATTTGGTTCTAGCTTGACTCACATCTACTTATTTTCTTTTATTTGTTCAGAAGAAGCAGCAGGTAGTTGGGGAGAAAAATTCAAGGTAACGTCTCTAGTTCATGAACTATCCAACTCTTGCTAATAACTATATGCTTGTAGAATACATACCCACATGCAAGATTTATTGTGATGTCCCATATTGGTTAGGGAGGAGAACAAACCACCATTTATACGGGGTGGAAACTTTCCCCTAGCAGACGCGTTTTAAAGCCTTGAGGGGAAGCCCGAAAGGGAAAGCCCAAAGAGGACAATATCTGCTAGCGGTGGATCTGGGCCGTTACATTTATTTATCTCGGTTCTAATCATTTTTATTGTAACTCAAAATGAGCTTTATGAAAAGAAATGTAGTACACGAGTACTGCAGACTTTTATTGAAGAGAGCGGATTTCTTTCAATATTAATGGTTTTCTTTTTCTTGGTGCTTTTTTGTTTCTGTTATCTTATAGGGATGACGCTGAGGAGGTAATTCAGGCTCAGCGTCATTACTCACAGGCTGAAGTTGACAATACCATTTACAATCTCTTTGATGATGCCCATGTTAAGGTGCGATTTACATACTCAAGTTTAAAGTTTTAATTTCTTTTAAAGTTCTGTAGGATACTTTTTCCTTGTTTAAATTCTTGGCGTAGATTCTTATATTAATTGTACATGGAAGGTTGTGTTTAGGCTGAAGATGGGGAGGAAGATTATATATGCAGAATTGTTGAAATGTTCGAGGCTGTCGACGGGCAACTATATTTCACTGCTCAATGGTATTATAGAGCTAAAGATACTGTAAGATGAACATAATGCGTTTCGATTATGTTTTACTCAAACTGTTCTTGGCCTGGTAATCAATTGACATTAGATTTTGTTTGTTACATTTTAGGTTGTGAAAGATCATGCTCATCTCATCAATGACAAGCGTGTATTCTTTTCAGAAGTTCGGGATGATAATCCATTGGATTGTCTTGTTAAGAAGCTAAATATAGCTAGAATTCCTCTAAGTGTATGATTTTTACATTTGTACATCTGTTTGAGGGTTTTCTTACTAGGATGATGCTAATTTTGTTTGCTTGTTTTTTGTTTCAGATGGCCATGGATAAGAAGAAAACCCGTCTTCCAGCTTGTGACTTCTACTGTGACATGTTATACTTGTTGCCGTATTCCTCATTCGTTAAACTGCCTGAAAGTAAGTTCGTAAAAGAATTAATTTCTTAGAACATGTCTCCGTTCGAAATGGCCCATGATAGAAATATGTCGAAACAAATAACTGCAGCAGGAAGAACAACTTGAGGGGAGAGAGCTTTTAAATAGAGGAACCTTAAGCACTTATGCTTTTCAATGATCTTTGTTGTTGTGAAAATAACATACATCTCATAAATATTTATAGTGGACAAAGTGTAACTAGTTTCCTAAACTTTCTCCAAAACCTATTCAAGCCAATAACTTCTTAACAATTATCCTCTAAGTTAATAACTTCTTTTGCTAAGTCAAACTTATTATTAACTTACATCCTTGACAATCTATAGTTCTCACATGTATGTAGGTGAGAAAAGGGTTGGCAGTGAGACGTCGTCGACAATTTCCTCCGAGGGTGATACCAATGGACCATGTGAAGTGACCTCAATTGGGGATGTCACTCAAGCACATCAGTGTTGTAAGCCTGATGTTGCACTTCTTGATTTATATTCAGGATGTGGTGCCATGTCAACTGGATTATGTTTAGGCGGCAATTTGTCTGGGGTGAACCTAGTCACAGTACGTTGCTTCACATATTTTAAACAGCTGATCACATGAAATTTATTTCATAGCTTCATTTTTTTCCTCTCTGTTTTCTTCTCTTGTTTAACAGAAATGGGCAGTTGATTTAAATCAATATGCTTGTGAAAGTCTAAAGTTCAATCACCCAGAGACAGAGGTAAACTTTTTATGATTGAATTCAACTTGATATTCAACCATAATAGACCTTGTGCTTTCTTAGCTTGTTCTATATTGCAGGTTAGAAATGAAATGGCAGAAGATTTTTTATCGTTGTTAAAAGAGTGGGAAGTGCTTTGCAAATATTTTTCTTTGATAAAAAGTGAAGGGCCACAACAAAAGTACGTAGATCTTTTTGCTAATGAAGAGGAAGAGGAAGATGAAGGGGAAGATGAAAAGACTGAAGATGATGAAGAAGTGTTTGAAGTGGAAAAAATACTTGCAATATGTTACGGTGATCCTAATGGAACTAAAAAGCGTGGATTGTTTCTTAAGGTATTTGAATGCTTGAATCTTAATTAAAAGTTTGCTAAATCAGTTATGTGGATATGACTGTGAACCAATATTTGATATTTTTCATCGTAATAATAGTTGGTTGGGAGGAGAACGAAACACCCTTTATAAGGGTGTGGAAACCTCTCCTTAGGAGACGCGTTTTAAAAACCTTGAGGGTAAACTCGAAAAGGAAAGCTCAAAGAGGACAACATCTGTTAGCGGTGGACTTGGGGCATTACAAATGGTATTAAATCTAGACACTGGGCGATGTGCCAGCGAGGAGGCTGAGCCCCGAAGGGGTGGACACGAGGCGGTGTGCCAGCGAGGAGGCTGAGCCTCGAAAGGGGTGGACACGAGGCGGTGTGCCAGCGAGGAGGCTGAGCCTCGAAGAGGGTGGACACGAGGCGGTGTGCCAGTAAGGACACTGGGCTCCAAAGGGGGTAGATTGCGGGGGTTCCCATCAATTGGAGAATGGAACGAGTGCCAGCGAGAACGCTAGACCTCGAAGGGAGTGGATTGTAAGATCCCATATTGGTTGGGGAGGAGAACGAAACACCCTTTTTAAGGGTGTGGAAACCTCTCCCTAGTAGACACGTTTTAAAAATCTTGAGGATAAGCCCAAAGAGGATAATATCTACTAGTAGTGGACTTGAGGCTTACAAATGTTCTTAGCTATATTCTTTAACTTAGTTGATATGGGTTGTTTAATCCCTTAGTCCATAAGTTATTTTTATTTAAATGTAGGTTTCCTGGAAGGGTTATGGCTCTGATGAAGACACATGGGAGCCAATTGAGGGATTGAGGTACATATTCTAGTGAAGTTGTCTTGCCTGATATCGTTGTTGTTCAAGCATTTGACTGAGTTAAACTTTACGTTCTATTTAACAGCAACTGCAAGGAAAAGTTGAAAGATTTTGTGACAAATGGTTACAAATCAAAGAGCTTACCTTTGCCTGTAAGTTTAATTATTTTACTTACTTTTTTTCTTCAATATTATTCTTATTAGAACTTGTGGGTTGGTAGGGTGATGTGGATGTTATCTGCGGAGGGCCTCCTTGCCAGGGTATTAGTGGTTTCAATCGCTTCAGGAACATAGAAAATCCACTGGAAGATGAGAAAAACAAACAGCTTGTTGTCTTCATGGACTTAGTGGAGTATCTTATGCCTAAATATGTTTTGATGGAGAATGTAGTAGATATAGTAAGGTTTGCCAATGGATATCTGGGACGGTATGCGCTTGGTCGTTTAATATCAATGAATTACCAAGTTCGTATGGGAATGATAGCAGCAGGTGCATATGGACTTCCACAGTTTCGTAGGCGAATGTTTATGTGGGGTGCCCAACCAACAGAGGTTGGCTCATAACTACATTGGTTTTGGTAGTAGGGACCTTGTGAAACTTGTAATAACATTCATTTCCCTTGTTTTCAGAAGCTTCCACAGTATCCTCTTCCAACTCATGATGTTGTAGTGAGGGGTGGAGTTCCTACTGAATTTGAGGTATGGAATTGTTATTGAGGCATTGTGGTTTAGTTTGTTGTTTGATTTGATGAGAATATATGATTATAATGCACAGATGAATGCTGTTGCTTTTGATGATGGACATAATGGCGTTGAGTTGGAAAAAAAGCTTCTTTTGGAAGATGCAATTTCTGATCTTCCTGTTGTATGTTCTTACCTTTCTTAACACTTTGGATTTCAGTGATTAATTTTGTTCTTAGTTTTGTTTGCATAATTATGTGCAGGTTGGAAATGATGAGCGTCGAGATGAAATGCCTTATGATAAACCTCCCATGACTGAGTTTCAGCGTTTAATTAGATTGCCTAGGGAAGGTTAGCTACTTTGTTTTTGTTTCCTTCCCCATTCAACCGCTACTAAATATTGTTCTCTTTGAATTTTCCCTCAAGGATTTTAAAACGTGTTTGCTTGGGAGAGGTTTCCACACCCTTAGAAAAAATGCTTCGTTCTCCTCCCCCAACCGATGTGGGATCTCACAATCCACTCCCTTTTGGAGCCCAACGTTCTCACATGCACTCGTTCCTCTCTCCAATCGATGAGGAACTCCCAATCCACCCCCTTGGAGCCCAGCTTCCTCGTTGGCACATCGTCCAATGTCTGGCTTTGATACCATTTGTAACAATTCAAGCCCACCGCTAGTAGATATTATCATCTTTGGGCTTTTCTTTTCGGGCTTCCCCTTAAGGTTTTTAAAACGCGTATGCTAGGAAGAGGTTTCCACACCCTTTTAAAGAATGCTCTGTTCTCCTTCCCAACCAATATGAGATCTCACAATCCACCCTTCTTCGGGGGGCCAGAGTCCTCGTTAGCACACGTTCTCTTCTCCAATCGATGTGGGACCCTCCAATCCACTTCCTTCGGGGCCCAGCATCCTTGCTGGCACACCGCCTCGTGTCCACCCCCGTTGTGGCTCAGCTTCCTCGCTGGCACATTGCTTGGTGTCTGACTCTGATACCATTTCATCCAAAGTAAAATAGAGCTAACGAACGTTGTCCTTGGTTATAATCTTGAATATGATTTAGTCTAAGGGTTTCTTCTATTTTCTTTATTTGAATATCATTTACAGAAAGGTTTGATTGTTCTACAAAGTCTAAGCCAGCAATGCACGAATTATACGATCATCGGCCACTTGAACTAAATACTGATGACTATCAACGTGTTTGTCAGATCCCAAAGAGAAAGGTTTTCTAAAATATTAATGCCTTTGATATGCTTTTTTAACTTTTAATATTCATTCACTAACCTATACCTTTTTCATAGGGGGCAAACTTCAGAGATTTACCTGGCGTTCGTGTTCGCCCTGATAATAAAGTTGAATGGGATCCTGATATTCAGAGAGTGTATTTGAAATCTGGAAAGCCTTTGGTAAGATTTTGTATCTTACACATGTTTAACTTTAATAAAAAACAACTTGAGATCCCACCTCGGTTGGGGAGGAGAACGAAACATTCTTTTTTAGGGTGTGGAAACCTCTTCCTAGCTTACGTGTTTTAAAAACGTTGAGGGAAAGCTCAAAGAGGACAATACCCGCTAGTGGTGGGCTTAGGCTCTTACAAATGGTATCAGAGTCAAACACTAGGCAATGTGCCACCGAGGAGGTGGACACGAGGCGGTGTGTTAGCAAGGACGCTGAGCCCTGAAGGGGGGTGAATTGGGGGGACCCACATCGATTGGAGAAGGGGATGAGTGTTAGTGAGGACGCTGGATTTCGATGGGGGGCGGATTGTGAGATTCCACATCGGCTGGAGAGGAGAACGGATCATTCTTCATAAGGGTGTGGAAACCTCTCCCTAGTAGACGTATTTTAAAATCCTTGAGAGG